ATGGGCCAATTGACCGGCTGAACGGCTCAGCGCCCTGGGACACCACGTTCTGGAACATGTCCTCCTTCTCTGCAGACACAAACACAAGCCAGGTCATTTCACAGTGAACGGCTTCGTCCACCGCGATGTCTTCAAACAGCAGGAACAGGAGAAGTGACAGTCAGTTTACCTCCGAGTTGACCGGTGGACATCGGAACAACTTTGTACAGGGAGCTGGGAAGGAAAATGACGTGGAATAGTTTTATTCCCAAACAGACAACGACTTGAAGTTACTGATAATAAGATAGGATACTGAGCTTGTGTGTTACTTTGGAGAGTTGGTGGGCATGGTGGGATCAATGGAGACCAAAGCACCTTCTGGATCCACCATCATTATGGCAGTGTTCCTGTCATAACAGGACGGGAAGAACGGTATACAAAATGAATTTCCTGACGTGGAGTCAGTCTTTATTTTACTTTAACTTCAAGTTTAGTCTTTTCTTCTTTCATTAAATCTTGGATGATGGAATAATCTTATAGTTCCACTCAGTTCCACTCTGCCACAGATCTATTGCTGACCTGACAGAGAAGCAGACGAGAAACTAATTTCTGTTGATAAAAGCCGACAGCGACTATTTCACCTCCATTCATCATGATCTGCTTTGATGTTCAGTACCAAGGATGGATGTCTGTGTCGGACCATAACATACACTGTACATCTCTCTCTTTGAAGTCTGGCTCTGATTTAACTGAGTCTATATCTGTGAGAAAAACCTCAGGTGAAAAATATGGATCTGAACGGGCGGCTGTCTTTTGAGACCAACCTGGGAATGTTGGAGGAGGAACACAGAAGCTCCTTGATGTCACATGGACTGCAGTGTCGGCTGAAGACCACCTAGGAAACACACAACGTGATCAGAAAAGTCTGAATATTCTGAACAGTAGTTTGGATGTTTAATTTACTACGTCTGATGTCACTTGTTGGAAAAGTCCGACAGTGCGATCTGTGTCCAGAGGCGCACCTGCACACAGCTGCACACAGACAGCTGCAGTGGTTTCCACAGTGTCTCAGTGTTCTGACAGGGTAGCAGGCTCATCAAATTACATGTGTTTTTAGGGCTACCGTGTCACACAGGAATGTCAGAGCAGGGTGTATTTCATGGCTGAATAGTCGAGAAAAGTCATGGGAGAGTAAGGGAGGAAACAAGGGAGTTGAGGAAATTCACTCCAGAAAGGAACTTCAGCCTTATTCTGTCATGTAATAATAATAAAAAATAAGTGTTTTACTAGACTCCCCTCACTAGAGGACTGGTGTTCAATACATCAGTCTGAATATGTGGACCATATTTGGAACCACTCAGTGAGTATCCCAGCCTTAGAAAACCTCTGACCTCACATGAGAAGGTGAAGCAGGTGTAGCAGACACACACTCTTGAGTGGACATGTGTCATCTCCAGCTCTGTACTTGAAGCACTCCACATCACCAGATCGACAGGCTTTACATTTCCTGTCTCACTCTCGTGAGTCGGGCGTGTTTATCTGCATATCTTAGATCTAAAAACGTTCACCGGTTCTACTTGAATTCTGACATTTTCCTGATGATGTGTACACTGATTTCACATTTGCATTTCATTAATAATCCCATTCATACTTTGTTCTGTGGTTTACAGTGGGACTGACCGGCGTTTGTTTATATCAGTAACACAAACTGCTCTGCTAGTTCTTCTAATTTTACTCAGCCCCCAGGTGACTCGACCCACGGGGAATCTTCCAGAGTTAAGCAGAAAGTGAATGAAAAATATTTAGCAAATTATGAACGCAACAATAAACCTGTGGATTTTGCTATTTTGAAATTTGAAACCTTTCATGTATTGAAATAAAGTATTAATTCACAAGTCATTTTAATGGAATTTAATATTTTATTTTAATTATAAAATATAAAATGTATATTTTTTACAATATTTATATTATATTATATTATATATTATATATTTCTATAAAATACATTATATTAAATATAAAAATATTTAATAACAAGTAGTTATTTGTAGTTTTTCTCTACAGTCCCAATAAAATCAAATTCTAAGAACTGTGATTTTCATCAACACATTTACCGAGTACTAAGCGATCATTAGCAGTTGTGTATAGAGTGAGTGTGTATTTTTACACGTTTGCATTCAAATCTACGCAGCACTTTAAATAGCATGCTGTATAGCAGGGGTTCCCAATCTACGGTCCAAGGACTGATGCCGGTCTGTGGGTCTTTTGATATCAGGCTGCAGTGGAAGAATTAATAATATACTTCATTTAAAAAGAGTTTTGTCATTTCCATTTACTTTCTTTATTTAAAAAATAATCCAGAGTTTGTTTTATTTTGAAAATCAACTGATCCATCCTTCAAGACTGTCGAGGTAATACTTATATACTTACTTAATACCTATTTACTTACTTTTTGTTGTTATTGGATCTCTTATTAAAATTTGCACATTTACATTTTCCACATTTGTCAAACGTACCTTTTGCACCTTCCCGCCCACGTCCAGGTAAATGGTTTTGGGGGCATAGGAGGAGGAGCTGGAGCCCATGTTGACCTCCCTCTCCTCTCGTACACGCCCGTAGAGATTTTTAACCTGGATCGCCTTCAGAAGAAGCCCCACAAGGTGTTTTCCTGGGGTTCGTCAACACAGAGTAGACAAACAAGGCGTGACTAACAAAGTCAAAAGTCAAAGACGAACATTAATAAGAAACGTGTCAGAGTGTAAAGTTCACTAAAAGGCAGTTAAACCACAAAGAAATAAAAATAACAAACTATAAAGTGATGCTGCAAATAAGTACAAAGAACAGAATCATGAATTTAGATTCAAAATAATCAAATGTGTTAAACTCACAATGTCAGCAAAGCCACTTCCTCTTTGGAGACTGGAGGTAATTTCCCAGGTGCCGTGGATGCAGCTGACTCACATGCACACAGGATCAGACGCCAGAGAACATATGCACGGGGTAAGATATGCAGCAGAAAGAGAGGGAGAGAGAGAGAGCATCTGGGTTAAAGAGAAGGTGAGGAAGTGTATGTGTGATGGAGACCATGGAGTATGGAGTACTACAAATATAATTAGCACCCCAAGTGGTTGCCAGGGGACTGTTTCCATGGCAAAAACAGTCCAATCATCTGAGAAGGTGCATCCCAGTCTCAGACATCCTATAGTCTTGTACGTCTTTAAGGTCTGACTCATTGCATCTACACACACACACACGCTGATTTACATCACTGCTAGTTCATTAACCTGTTGGGTTTTCTGAACAACTATAGGAATACAAATATACAGTATTATAGAAAATACTGCAGTAAAATCTCAAACTTTGTTCAGCATCAAAGAGTTAAATACGACCACAAAACATCAACAAACATCAAGAAGATCAATGAGTGTTCTTGCTGGGTTCTGGGAAGTCGCCTCTCGTCAGCTGACTCGTCGCTCGGGGGACAGACAAGACAAGCAGCTCCACTGTCTAAATGTTATTAGAACTCATTTGTAACAACACCGCTAACTGAAGTTCATAAAATAATAATCATCATCATAACAAATCAACTTAAATGCATGTTATACATCAGTAACTTAAGGTGCAGCCACCTTGTTTCGACTCCGGGACCATGTATACCAGGTAGGATTTGGGCACTGAATGGTTTCAAGCCTGATCCTTCTGGTGCAGTGGTAGAACCCACTGCAGCCCCTGAACATGAATAAAGAAAATTGTTATTTGACAAATAAAGGTTCAAAGGGATTCTAGATGTTTACTGTGGTTATCAGTGTGTGTGTGTGTGTGTCCGTGCACATGGTCACTGTGAGGCCATCTTGCTGAACCTCGGTAACTTTAAGGTCGAGGACTTGATTTGAGGATCAGGACAAGAAGCAGAGGAAGGATTTATATTTTTATATATTTAAGTTCAGCTCTGTAGAATGTATTGTGTTGTGTGTGTATGCGTGTGTTTTAACCCACCTAATTCACCACCACTCCGCTTATCCACTCCAGCTCTGAGAGCAGGTCCAGCAGATGGTTTGGTCAGATGAGTAAGCAGAGCACTTGTGAAGATTTCAGTCTAATTTATTTTTAGCTCTCTTTAATGATGGCACAAGGACAATTACATAAATAAACAAGTGTCGAAGGACATATTTTAATCGAGTTAAAGGGCAAATGCATGTACAACTCTGTATAACTATTTGACATACAGTACAAAAAGGTTTTGTCTATGTGTACACACACCAAAGTTTTTGTGCCAAAAAATTACTTTCTTAAAATACTTTGAGTATTTTGATTCTTAAAAATACAACGTACAAGAATTGAATGAAATCACTTAGTTTGAATCGCATTTAGTTGAAACTAAATAAACACAATATAGTTTTTAATAAGTGCTTTTCTGAATGAACAAATGCATTTATCTTGTTCTTGTTTATTAAATATAAATCTACATATACAGAATCATGTATATGTATTTTTTCCTTTTGTATTGTTGTACAAAATGTAGATTACAACAGTCATTTCTAAATATGTGTGTGAAATAAATATGGTGAGTTGAGTTACAGACAGAATATGTTTTTGTGTTTGTCGTGCTCTGCAGCAAAGGTTAAAGGACCGTTTTCAAAAGATTCTGCTCTCCTCTCCACTGTGTTGACCTAATTGGGACCATGATCACAAAGTAGTAAAAACAGCCTCTCCTCCTGGGAGTTTCACATCAACACCATCAACAGGCTTGTGTGAACAGGGATATCAGTGAGAAGCCTCGACTTAGCAGGAAGAGGAGGTAATTAATTAGCAATGGAGGGAAATCATACCCTGTCTGCAGCTCGCAGGACACCTGGAACCACTTGGTGATGGTAAACTGTGAGATTTTAATCAATGAAAACTCCTGTCCAGGCAAAATGAAATGCCACCTTCATTAACTCATTTCATTTTGATATGCCTGCTCATATGTGCTGTGTTCCCATGACGTGGTCTTAAACGTTTATTGAACGGGGCCATGAAAGCCCAGACTGTCCAGATCAAAACGGCTGAGTCTAATTGGCACGACTCATCGCACCTTCAGTAACGGCAGATACTTTTCACAGATAAAAGCAATAAATCAAGCAGATTTTCATGACAAAAGACGCCCAGATGGCTGTGCAGAGGACACACATTATGCTGATACTGGCCTCCCTCCTTTTTTTCTCTATGGTAAAACTCCCAAATTAAAACAGCTCAGCACAGGCTTTAATCTTTTATCTGTTCGGCTCTTTTAATCTGCGTTCACGCTCTTCTTCTGTGGTGGAAAAACCCCAGGGCAGTGAGGACGCAAGCGCTTACCTAACTATAACCCTGACAACAGCCAATCAAGGGTTAAGAAGTAATTTTGTTTTAAATCTTGTTTGGTAAATAAAAAGATGGACATAATTGAACTTGTTCTCCATCCTGCAATTTTAGAAATGTCCTTGACAATCAGTTCGATCTATATTTATTTTTCTATATTTAATGTGTGATTAGAAACATGGGTAAACAGTCAACGCAGGTTGATCCTCCTTGACCTTCGAGGGTTCACGTAACAGCAGACGGACAGTGAAAAACGTGAGTCACAGAGGCAGGTTGTCATCCGGTCACTGGTCATTCTCTGTCATCAGTGCTCTATATTTTTAATTCCATAATTAGGTAAAATAAAAACAAAAAACGGCCTGTAATACCCACTACTGTATATTTAGAAATATTTTGGTCAACAACTACACTTTAAGAATAGAAATAATGTTTTCAAATACGTCTATCTGGTTCATATACTGACAAATGCATGTTTAAGTAAAGACTGGGGTGACCTCTAAAGGGCAAGACGAGTACTACCATAAAAACTCAGTACACCACATCGTGAGTGGTGACAACAGTAGACCAAACCAACCGTGAACTTTTCAAATACTTTTATTAACTTAAGTTATACCATGACCTACGAACATAAACATATATGTTTACAGTCATTTATCGAAAATTACAGTGAAAGTGGGAATTCTGTGTTCTCCTAAAACGGTTCATAAATTGCTGTTGAACTGGACACAATTTTTCACTTGAAGATTTTCATTAAAAAAATAACAAAACTACAGTTACAGCTGCAAACAAACAAACAAACACTGAATTTCAACTGATAAATAATTGAATGTGAAGGTGAAGGTTAGCCAAAAGAAAACTCATCATTTATCCTAAGGCATAAATTTGACTATTCCTGTTACTGTTAAGATGCCAAAGACAAAAAAAATCTAAACTAACTGTATTTTTTTGTCACAGCTTTAAAGCAGAACCTCCCCCTCCCTCCACCCTCCACCCCAGACTGATGAGAATGTGATGTCATTGTGGTGGTGAAGGTTGAGTCTGAACACCGGTATCTGTACAATCTGCCTCGACCAGTAGGTGGCCAGATGAGAAGCTCACTGGAGAGTTGATTCTCCTTATTGGGCTAAAACTTCGTGGAGATGAACTGGGGGAGTTAGCCGGGGAGCGGCCTGGACGCAGTGGAGGTCCTGGAAGAGGCTGTGGAAGTGTATGCGTGAGTGGAGAGGGGGCGCGGGGGTATCTACGGGGGGCGGTCCAGACAGGCCGATCAGTTATGTTTGAGGAAGGGGGGAAAACTTGGGTATACGTAGCAGGGATCCGTGTTTCTAATTGGCTTAAAGTGTTTCCAGAACCTTCTTCCAACGTCTCCAGAGTCTCCTGAAATTAAAGGACGACGTTCCATCATGAACTCTTGTGTTTCTGTTAGATCAGTCAAAGATTATAACTGCAGCGATTTTCCCAGTGGCTAATTCTAGTACTGCAATAAAAATCTGCCTGAAACCAGTTTGCCCACTGTTTTATTTATTTATAAGTTTTATTTTACATAGTATTTTTAATCATGGTCACTAACTTTAACTTTGGCCACAGTATAGCGACAAGGGGCGCTGGTCAAATGTTGTTTTTGTTCTTGATCTGTGGTTATAGTTCAGCCATCGAACCTCTCACGTGACATGCTTTGGTTACACACAATGACAGCTCACCACCTGATTGGTTCAACCAGGGTTGTTGTTGACATTATAGTAGGGAGAGTTTTATTTTGAAATAATTAATTATGGATTTTTCTAAATTGATTTATTTATTCCAGTGACGGGTCATTTCAGACCAGATGTGGATGGAGAAAGTGATTGCATTTTTAAAGACAGAGAGGAGCTTTGTGCATTGTGCATCCACGCACAGCTGCTCAGACTGTGTCCCAGTGTCATAACTGGTATTTTTGAATGAATAAAGAAGGACTCACATCTTCATTGAGGACATACAGAGGCATGGGACTCCTACGACCAAGTGTGGACGGTTTGGGAACAACATCAACTGTGAAGAAATACAGGTATTTTATTATATATATTTTTAATAATGTATGTAATAAATTAACATTGAACATGCTGTTCAAAAGGTTAACATGAGGCTGCTCACCATCGTGACCAATTTCAGTCTGGTCTACGTAGACCGGAGCTCTCTGAGGGAGGGGTCGAGGCTTCTTTCTATAGTAAGAAAAGAACGTTATGCAACAAGTCGACGTGCTCACCAAAGTGCCAGTCCATTACAGAGCAGTGCTCTGGCACTACTGAGCTACTTGAGATTCTAGTCGTATCCTTGAGGGCCAGCGCTCAAGCCAGTGGGAGCCAGAGAGTTAGTCAGAGAGGAGAGGGGGGACAAGAAAGAAAAGTGAAAAGATGGAGAAGTAGAAAGGTTGGCACTCACTTGGAAGGTTTCCAACAGGCACACACAGTCACCAGGGTGATTAGGAGGAATATGCCCCCGGTGGACAGGATGATGTATAGCGTGCTCCGTCCTGAACCAGAGTAATACAGAAAGGTGGGTGAGAGACCAAGAGAAAGGAGGAGAGAAGAATTGAAGTCAGTAACAGCAGCATGCTACTTTAATCCTGACATTATTCCCTGATAAAAATTCCACCGTAAAACAGTTTTCAGTTCAGGTAATATACAGAATTGTTGTTGTTTTCATGTTTAGGAATGTGGATTTATCTTGATTGATTGGGATTATTCCGTCTTTCCGACTATAAGTTGAACTTTTAGGTAGTTCGTCTGGTCCTGTGACACATTCCAGTGACTTATATATCACCTAACGCCACAAGAGGGCACCCTCGACACACGATGGCAAAACGCTATTACTGCACCATTATATAAAACACGACTGGACCATAAAGGCTTACGGAAAGACAATCAAACTTCCTAAACTTCATAAAGACTGAGGTTAAAAAATCTTCATTAAAAAAAAAAGAAAAAAAGAAAAAAGAAAAAAAATGAAAAAACCTCACTGCAGCTAAAGCCAACAGGAATGGAGCAGCAACTAACAAAGTAACTCATTAGAAAAATCCCTCACTAAACATTTTTACAGTTTTTATAGCCGTGTGCTGCCACCTATTGGACCACTATTTAATTGTTCTGCTTCTTGTGAACGGTTTTTTTTTACCTCTTTTCACATTTTTTGATAGATGCAATTTGTACAATGGTGCGTTTTTGTCTGTAAAATACAGTAATCCACAGCTACGATAAATCAGATGAATTATTAACAATTTCACAACACTAATCTTTTTCAAATGTTGTTTTTTGACACCCAGGCTGACAGTAAATCAGTGCAGTGAGATAAGAATGAAAGAGAGAAAAGTTCTTCTGTGCCATTTGCCAAGCTTTTAGAGTGTGTTGGTGTGAATAAGGTGCAGTGAAGCAGTGCACGCTGCAGACACTTATAGACTTAACCCTGCTCCATCTCATCCACAATACAAAGCAGTGCGAGAGCCAGTAGCTGCTGCTCATTCTTAATGAAGTCAGAGCCACTGAGGTCCACTGAGGCACAGCTCCCTCCACATGCCTCTGTCTCCGCTGCTCTGCTCACTACACACATAAATAACTGTCCGCTCATCGGAGTAAGCTACCTCTCCCTCCTTCTCAGCCCCCGACATGTGGCGCCCATATTGGCGCCCGCTAACAGCCGCTCTGGGCCAACTGTTACTGTTGCTTACAGCCTGGATTTTCATAAGCTGTAAACAACATTGTTACAGAGGCAGTCATACACGCTTTGTCAGCGTGAGACAATCATTACCTAGGCTAGCTGAGAAGATGTTTGTTGGACTGGTGAGAGAAATAGAACCACCATAAAAGATCAGTTTGAGGATTGAAACAACATGTTGGATTTTTTTTATTTACAGTGACACCCTGTTATATAAATGTGTGTTTTTTTTAATCAAATGGATCACTGGATGGTGCCATACCAAGTACTGTATTTAGAACCAGACAGAAGCACACATTTAAATATAGTTGTAATGACAGTTCTGGTCTGCCAAAAACTGCCAAAAAAAGTGATTCTTGCTCTTTTTACACCATGTACTACCTCTACAAACATCTCTCGAAGTACCACACTTTGACCAGCATTTAAAATACAAACAGCAGCACAGACCTACACAGTTCACCTAGGGCCAGTACATTAAAAAGAGAATATGTACCTAATTACATCGTTACAGTTTTTAAAGCTCTAGAAGTAGTACTACATTCGGCACTTCATTGTATATGAGGCCACATTCATACACAGCAGACAGGATAATATTCAACACAGTAGTTTAAGTGCCCTACCAAATCCTAATAGGACTCAGATTCACTTGTATACCACACAAATGACCCAAGTACCACAAAGGGTACACATACCATAACATGAGTTCTACTACTGTGTGACTTACTTGGAATATCATTCCAGGTCTTACTTAACAAAAATATATCTTTTCCTGAATGGTACTACCTGTACAGTCCCCTCTGAGGTCTGCTCTAGATGATCTATTTGAGTTCTTATTAAAGTAATACTTGAAGGTAGATTGTGACCAAAACAAATACAGTGTAAGAATGTATTAGAATACACACTTGTTTCACAGTGTTGTCCTACTTTAGATGCTTGTGTTTTATTAATATCTGAAAGTGAGTTGTTTTCCAAGCCGGTCTGACTTGTTGCCTGAGTAGTTATCTGACTTGTTATCTGACTTATCTAACTTGTTATAACTTGCTAGTTGACTTTTTGTACCAACATCTCTTTCATTTTCTCATTAGAAATTTGTACGACTTGAGATCCTACCCGTGTAACATGCCACCTACTGTAGACAGTGAGCCTGACAGGCGTGCTCTTCACACTGCTGATGGGGTTTTCCACCGTGCAGCTGTAAGTGTCATCGTCTGACATCAGAACGCGTGAGATGGTCAGCACCTTTTGGTCATGAGAGAGCAGCAGCCGTGAGTCATTTGTCAGCACCTTGCCTCCCTTCTGCCAGCTGTAGCTGGGTTTTGTGCCATTGTCGTGGGAGCAGTGCAGGTTGAAGTACTCACTGTACTCCAGGACGGATGATGCTATCATCTGGATGTAAGGTTTGGACACAGGAACTGAGGATGACAGGGCAAAGGCATGGAAATTCCAAAAATGACATGTTCTCTGGTTATGTAAGAAGAGCTGAAAAGAGAAATCTCAGTTTCTATCTTAAGTGAAAACCTCTGTGTCACACTGGGAGAAAAGTAAACTTTTTCGACACCTGCACTCCCTCGATGAACACAATTTTGATTGTGATTATGTTTTAAATGATAAATTTTATTTGGAGAAATTAAATAAATGAGCCAACTTTTCTCACCATCCACAGTCAGCTCAATGTGATGCTCTCCAGTGAAGCTGTCATCGGTGCTGGAGATCTCTACCTCATACGCCCCCTCGTCCGACAGCTGCAGGTTGTGAAGCAGCAGCGAGCCGGTCTCCAACACCAGAATGCGGTTGCGGTACTCGGGCCTCAGGTTCCCGATGATGTCTGTCCCAATGGACTGAACGACGGTGATCGGTTTCTCTCTGCTCCTCTTCAGCTGCCACTTGATGACAGGCTTGTCTGGGCTGGTGCTGGAGTAACTGACAGACAACAGGGCTTCTTTACCCACCGTGCCCCTCACCACCTGGGCTGGACTGGTCACATTCACCCCTGACACCACACCTGGGGGGAACAAATATGATGGTAAATCCTCTGAGTAGACAGCACACAGAATGACAAGAATTCAGAGATAATGCAGGGGTGGGGTGGGGGAGTCGGGGTGCAGTCATAATGCTGCTTTTTATTCTCTGCCAACACCGAAACAAAAGAGGTACAAATGCTATGCCACACTAATTAGTGCTACACTAATTACCTCTCATACCACCAATAGAAACAGAACAGAAAGGCCTGGACGCTGAGTGGAAAAGGTTGCATTGATGAATTCTGCTATTAATTAATGACAAATAAAATATAGAAAATATGTTTTGACATTGAAGATTTTTTTGGATGATTTAGATTCTGCTCATTTTAACTATTAAAACTACTTGATTTAAATGAATCACTTAAAACCAAAGAATAAGCAATTATCCTCTCATATATAAATGTATGTATACACATATAAATACACATGTAAATATATTCAAATAAATACATATATATATTGTATGTGTTTATACTTGTATATAGAACGTACAAGTAACCCATTAATCCTCTTTCAGGCAAAAGCACTAACCACCACTGCCCCGTGTGGCCCAGTGTAAAGTGTATGTTCGCCTTTAAAGAAAAACTTGATTTTTGTTCCCTTTCCTCCTGACAATGTTAATTAGGCATTCATTTCCCTCACCATTACACAGTAGATCCTTAAAGGTGCGAAAGTGATGACCATGATCTACACCGGTGCTGTACGTGCTACCGCGAAATAATGCTCTATAAAGGTCAACACTAAAACGGCCGTCACTTTAGTCCATTTAAATTTATCTCTGCTTCAGATGACTCTATTTTAAACTCCTCTCCGGTGCGACTTAATGAGTTGTAGAAAGTTTGTACTTAAAGCCATTAGTCAGCGTATACCCTGTGTATGTGTGTGTGTACTCTGCTCCCCCTCCCCAGCCCCCCCACACCACGATGTTCATCGTTAATCTAAGAACAATGCCCCTCCAGGAATTCCCTGCCTTCTTCATAGTAAAACATGCAATAATTAATTTTGATTTGTGCTTGGCAATAGTCCGGCGCCCCCCTCAGGGATGAAGTATAAGGTGTAACAATGTGAACCACATTTTATCCTTTATGAACAAGCTCCGACCTGGAAACCAAACATGGCAGAACAGTGGAGTTACATCCTGTAACTCAGATGTCAGCGGGACACATGGAGGTCCAAACACTGGCCCCGGGTTCTGTGGGAGGTGTCCTACTGTTAGGTTCTAGTGGTTGACAGTGAAAACAGTGAACGAGAGAGAGAAAGGGAGAGAGAGAGAGAGAGAGAGAGAAATGGGAGGGAGGGAGGCTCTGCACGAGTTGCAGTAAAGCAGTTAACAGGGCATCGCATCATTGCTGTGGTAACCATTTGGTGCGCCTGACAGGGGTTGCCACGGCAATAAGACAAAGGGCACGATTGTTAGAAATAGTTTCCTCGATTGAAGAGCGAAAAAGAGTAAGGGAATGGGAGGGAGAGAGAGGCAGAGAGAGGGAGAGGGAGAGAGTAACTCTTTGTCATTGGTGAAGAAGGAGATGGACACAGGATTTAATGATTCGGCTAAAACAGACCACAGCTTTGGTACCAGCTTCAAAATTAAAATAAATATTTTATCACCATAAATAACTCTTTTGACCCCCCTCCCTCCTTGTTTTATTTATTAACTTAGCCCAAAATAGAAAACAGTTCCTGTCATAGGAAAACACCTCACTAAAGTTGATATCATCACAGTAGAAAAGCCACTTCTCTGAGTATTTGTAGGGGCCCCAGGGTGAAGCACCACCCATGAAAGAATCAGCCAGACTGTGGCACAGACGGAGGAAAGACGACTCCAACCTGGATTATCCTTACATTCAGATGTGGCATTTAAACACAGTGGTGCGACAAATGAACCAAAATCTGCACAAGTTGGCTGTAAGAGACACGCTATTACTCTTACAGCCAACTGTAATCTGCAGGAAACCCCTCACCTTGCAACATCACTACACATTTACTGCACGACAAGCGGACCATCAACAAGTATCTGGAACCTACCTGTGAGGAGGAGGAGGAGGCCGCACAGCCTCAGGAGGAGCGCAGGGATGTCTGTGAAAGTGTGGCTGGTGGATGTCCTTCTGTCCACCTTCATCTTGTGTCCTGGGAAGAGTCTCTCTCCCACTTTGTGAGCATGTTTTCTTTTCCCACCCTGGGCACGTCGCTGCAGCTCCACACTGTCTCCACAGCCTGCCTGCAACACTGGCCTCTGCCTGGACACACTGAGCCCCACTCTCTCCCCACAGCACCCCAGTGACAGCCAACAACAGCCAACTGTGTGTGTCTTTGTGTGTGTGTGTGTGGCAGGCCACTGCACACTTTCAGTTGGAAAGAACACACTGCTTGCTTGTTCACTGATTCATCTTTGTCACAGACTTTCTCTTTTCATTTGTGTGTTAACAATAAAACTGACTTTTCAATGAATTTTAAGTCAATCAGCTTAACTCAAAAACTGCTGCTACAAAATAAAATTCTACTTAGAGCTTTTTCAAACTTTCAGCTGTGGAAAACAACCCACTTCCCGTTTCTCCCACTTTTCTCACAGACCAATTTTTCTTTTGCTTGAACAATACAATTATAACTTCTTTATTAGCTTTAGTTCATTAGACATCACGTAGAGAACTTACGTATGTTTTGCTGCATCGTTAAGTAACACATGCACTAGAGGCCCGACGTTTTTCGAACAATATCGAACATGTTGATACTTAAAGTGATGATATTCCTGCTCGGAAAGAGGTCTAAATTGAGACAGAGCATGAGACAATGGCAGTCTATGCTGACATTACATAAAGAGAAGCCGGTTCCTTCCTTTTCGATGTTGTTGTTATTATTGTTGTGATTTCGCTGTGTTCTTCTTGCTGTTTCCGTTATAGGCTCTCATGAGTTACACTGTGCAACACCGCCCCCACGATTTCCAGTGGTACTGCTACGTTTCATACCTTGGGCACTCAATCCGCAAACTCGCAATACATTAGGCAGGTAAAGAACGAATGGCTCGGTGTGTTTACTTACAGTTGAACATAAACTAGGCCACTGTTCTAGTTTAATCAAAACCAATTCTTCATCTAATCACGTGTCCCATATTGAAAGCTAATCTTTATTTACTAGTCAACCAAATGTCATTGTACCTGTCAAAGCACACATTGAGCAGACGAGCAGTTCTACAAGTGTTGTTGCGCCTTTTTGTCCACTAGGTGGAGGAAGAGTAACACGGAGGCTGTTACCAAAAAGGATTCTGACAACAGTTTGTTGCATTCAATCCCTCCCCCCAAAAGATAAAAAAAGTAAAGAAAAAAGAAACAAACAAACCTCCAAGGTCTTGAATTATTATTTTGTCGTTTTGTCGTTTGTAATGGGAACAATAGTACACGTTTACTGCATAGACAAGTGCTCTGCTTTAAAGTTTGGGTGAACAGTAGTTTGTTCTGTTTTTAGAGCATTCTCACCCACAACAAGGAGAGGCTTCATGCAGCAGAGAATTTATGGAGAGCGTCAGGACTGTGGGAACAGCTGCTGAGTCGACACCACCATCCAGGGACTGAGCCTCCTGTGAAGTCAGCCATCAAAGACAAACCTCTCTCCTCCACCTCTGCCCTCTCTTAAAGCTGCTCCTCCTTCCTCCATCTCATCTTCTAACGTGCTCTAAATCAAGGGGCCCACTCCACAAGCACAAAAGACACGGAGGCACTGACGCAGTGTCTGTCTGTGGCTCAATTCATGTGTCTGTGTCACAGCACAATTCATTGTCACATCTAGTCCACGCTGCGGACGCAATCCTTTTGGATGAAAAAGATGTTAAGATGTGAATGACAAAAAAAGAATGGAATAGAATTCATGTAGAAAAAGTAAAAGAAGTTAAAAAGGAACAAAATGTAAAAAAGAGAAAATTAGGACTACACAACCTATAACTATTCATATACATAAAACAATCCACCAGAATCATGTATCACGAATCAAGTGTTTAAAATTTTGTATATTGCACCATAGGACGAAAGTGTCAGATTTCACACTTTCATAGAAGGCAAATCAAAAATATATGTATTGTTAGAATAACAAAGTTATTTTTTCTACATCACCTCCATGTCAGTCTAAACCAGGGGTGTCAAATTCAATTTGGTTCAGCCCCCCCACCTTCCCCTTCTTTTACTGCAAATAAGTACAAGAAAATTGATTCATATTTAAATATTATATATTAAAATATTATATATTTATATATTGAAATATATTTTGATAAAACATCACCAACATGAAATGTTAGTGCTTTCAAAATCAGGTGGGCCAGATTGAACCCCCTAATGGACTGGTTTTGGCCCATATGTTTGACAGCCCTGGTCTAAACTCTTCTTCAGTGGTGTTTCCATCAGAGATTTCTGAGAGAATGCTTAATTAAATTATCTTTTCATCATTGTAAACACAAAAAAATTCAAAACAGATTCCAAATTCCAAACACTGAACATCGACTGTAGGAGCAGTAACATTCCACCACAGTTACATTATTATTATTATTATTATTATTATACATGGTTAGATTCGACCTATTTTAACACAGTGATGCCTTTACATGCCCTTCATATTGTTAACTGTACCCAAACATGTTCAGTACACAAGAATTACAGTGGCACAGCCCTCGCCCCCTGCTGTTTGCCGTGGTATCTCCACCTCTAATTATCACTCAGGAGACCACGGGAGACCTTCTCTCACTGACAGGCTGTCTGAGAGTGAAAAAAAAAGAACAGCCGAGCAGATCTATCACATGATTTATTCCTGAAATAGTAGCAGTTAATATGCCGCCTGTGAGGAAGGGACTGAAGTACTGTTGCTTTACAAAGTCGCTAACAAGTCTGACATTAGTATTTATTAGCATTCAACGCTATTCTTGTTTTCATTACTCTCAGTATTCTTTCCACAGCACCAAGTGGGTGTTGCGCTATGTTTGGAGGTGTGCAGAATATTGATTGTTCACCCACAATCATTAAAGAGACAGGAGGATGTGGACTTACCCCCCTCCCCCTTCCCCCTCTTCCCCCAGGGACAGTGGAGAAAAGATAACAAGTCAATATCAGTCCTATATAGATGATGTTTATGAGGGCGGTGCCGGAGACACATCAGCCTCAGAGACGATTGCTCTGCAAAACCACACAACAGTTGTCCTCAACACACCTGGTGACACTGGCAGGAACCCGCCTGTGTGTGTGTGTGTGTGTGTGTGTGTGTCGCTGTCGTACAGTGACTTCAGTGGGATCTTCATACCGATGTAGGTGTTGTGCTTTTCCTATGTGAACGTGTGCATGTGCAGTGTGAGTTTGTGCCGTGTGCTCTGTGGCTCAGATGTGCGTGGGTGGGTTGAGTGGGAACATTGGGAGACTGAAGATGCTGGAGCCTTTTTCTCATACAGTGAACGAGGCTGCCTGGGCAAATGTAGCCCAAAAAAACCCTGCATTATTACCCTCGGATTTAAACAATATCTTACTGCACTGTCGGTTCAAAGTTGTACTGGAAAACTGATGACTGGTGCACATTTCATTGGGCTTGTCAATGCATGGGATACTGTGAATACTAGTGGTTTTAATTAACAAAGAAAACTGCTAAAATCGTGAACACATGAACATATGCTGTTTATGATGTAACAACCACAAAGTGAGAAAATATTTTGCAAAATGTGTACAGATTTCACCACAGTAAATATTTCACTGACTCAAAAAAAAAAAAAAAACTACAAAAAAACACCCCAAATATTTAAGGTTTATTTATTGATGTAATGCAAATACTCTACAGGAAAGTTCCACAATGTTCTAACAATAAAGGTAAACGCATGAAAGCTCTGCAAACTCTTGACAAATAGAATATATATATATTAATATTTTTACATAATTCCATAAATAAACAAGTCAAACTTGCCAACACTAACTAACAACAGAGCGTACTGAAATAGTGTCTAATAAAGGCAATGCATCTGGAAAAAAGTAATTACTGCATGCTTACTGTTCTGGAAGATCAGATTTATTGAAATGCTTAAACAAGTGAAAAAAAAGAAGTTACTCATCATCAGAAAAGAAATATTCAAGGCAAATGCAATGTAAGAAATTAATAATCATACGTAGCTACTTTTCCTATGAAGTTTTTGCTTTTTTTTAATTCATTCTGTAAGCATGTGGTAATCAAATATGCAAATAAATAGTCTTGGTACAAGCGGAAACAGAGGGAGTTGCAAAATAAGAAAAAAAAAAACCCAAAAAACTCAAGCCACAAACTATACACAGTCTACCGCTGATGCATTAATGTGTGTGTACACGTGGTGTGAACATCAGCATCCCAAAAATAAGACCTGTTCAGCGCCAGATATGACATTCATTTGCACATTCACGGATCGCCGTCTAAAAACTAGCACACTACCAGAAGTTTCACATGTACATGCAGTGAGTTGCAAATTCTGGGTCAAAGACATTCGTACTGATGAGGCTGCTGGAGAAGCAGAGGAGTGTTAAAGTTCACGAAAAACTCAACAGAACACGCCCTCAAAACTGTTCCTTTTCTACTTATATATAAATATGTAGGAAGGAAAGAGGAAAACAAAAACAAAAATAGCAAAATAACTCCTGGGGTCAAACGCTGTGCATCTAAAAGCTGCACCACTCCACCCACCAAACATGAGCAGCCGTCTCTGTCTTCATACATCCTCTTCATGCAGGTCAGGACGGAGGTGTCACTGCTCTGGCACAGATGTGTCGTCACTCTCTACTGCCCCCGTTCCTCCTGTCGCTGGAACAAAAAAAAAAAAAAAAAAAAGTGAGGTGGTAACAGCTGACGTCAACAGTCACAAACTAGTTTTTTTGGTGGGTGGATTTCTGGAAAAAAACCCACACACACAACATAGAGCAGCCGTTTGAAAAAGAAGATGTTTTAATTGTAAAGTCCTTTTTCATGTGCCAAAGCAGTGGAGTCTTCTTTTAGTTACTTCATTATATCTTTCCACCACAGTAAAACCTCAACCTTTCAATAATAACTGAACATAACTTATATATTTCACCCCTGACAATGATGACGAGGTGAATGACATGTGACCACAACTTCACCACTGGAGGCTCCAAAATTCTACACAGCATTACCTTCACATGCCCTTGATTTGTAAATGATGTACCCAGTGTGATGGTACAATTTTTCTCCCCTCTGATCAGTGATGATCTCGAAAACACTCTTCACTGATACGTGTTGTGGAAAAAAAGGGGTCTCCTCCAATGGGAGGTACTCAGGATGCTCGGTTCCAGTCCGACAGGCCCATTAATCCTGCTCAGAGGCACATGTACGCTCTACCTGAAGCACCTGGAGCTATAAATACATCTCCCACATAAGCATCCCAGGCAGCCGGCAACTGGGTTAGGAAGAGGACTTGACATAGATTCTCTGTCTCGGACACTTTTCTACAGAAAAGTCTTGGAACTGTCAAGGGCTGCGTCTCCTAGAACCGCCCTGATGAAAGTTCTCCGTAAAGGTTCACAGTGGATCAGGCTAGGAAATATATCTGTTGTAAATGAAAACATATCCCACACAATTTCTTCTTCTGTGGTTGAATCACTCTATGACAAACATCTCTGTCTGTCTGCTCCTGGTCCTCACTCTCCATCTCCTCTGACTCGGCTACATCTACCCATTTGGAACTCCACGGCAGAACGACTCGTGATTAACACTTGTTTGTGCATGCCATTAATCAAACATGTAATCAACTATAATAGGCTTTAACTGACGGAATTAATAAGCAGCAGCTTTTAAATTATTTATATTTTTGGAGTTTGAAAACATCGTAAATCATTTTCCTTTCTTGCTTGACTCTAAACTTTCTGCCAATAAAAATGTTCTGCGCTCAGCTCTAAATGGAACAGAGCTGTGTAAAAAACGCTGTAATACATTTGTCTCTTTGGAATGCTGGGATTCCAACACTCCCAGGCCTGGCGCTCCCATCACTTACCTCATGTG